TTCCAAAGTTACATAAAGATGTATACTTGGGATTAATTGATTTTGATAAGTACAAATTATGCATGTCTGACACAATGACCAAATCTTCTTTTACTTGAAAAGAAGAAAGGTCAGTATAATTACTGGTCTAATGCATGGTGATGCATATGGCTCGTGTCAATTAATGTCAGATAATGTTTCTCTTATTTCATCAATGATCATGTATACTCGATGAAAACCTCAAACATGAAACTCTTGAAAAGTTCAAGGGATTCAAACTAGAAGTAGAGAAACAAATAGGTAAAGATACCCTCACATTAAAATTCGATCAAGTGAGAGTATCTTAAAGATAAAATATAGATTATATAAGAGAGAATGAGATTTTCTTACAGTGGATTCCTTCATATACACTGCAACAATGTGGTGTATCTAAAAGGAGGAATCGTTAATTATTAGATATAATTGGATTAATAACAAGTCATGCAACTCTCCCAAAATTGTTTTGGAGTAATGCATTGATTGTAGTGTGCAACACACTAAATCATGTCCCATCTAAATTGGTTAACAGACTCCATACGAGTTATGAAAAGGCAATAATCCCAAATTATCTTATGTGAAAGTTTGGGGCCATGACGCTTATTTGAAGCGCCTTGAATCGGATAAGTTTGACGCTAAATCTGATAAATACATATTTGTAGGGATATTCAAAGCAGACATTTGAATATTAATTCTATTATCATGAAAAAAGTCTTCGTCTCACGACATATCTTCCTTTTAGAGAAAATGTTTACTCTAAGGGAGGACAGTGGGAGCAAAATAGAACTTGAAAGAGTTCAAGAGTCCACAGATATAGTTAACCAAGTAGATGAATTCGAGTTTGATCCCATATCTGATATGGGACATACTCTTGATCAGGAATTAAAGACTCCTGAGGACATGACAGCTCTATGTGAATCTAGTAGGATCATTCGATCTTCAAGAAGGTGCGAATCCATGATTATTAATCAGGTATTAGTGATCCAGGATAATGAACCTGCTAGTTGCAACAAAATAAAGTCAAGTGTTAACTTAAAAGAGACAGCAAGAGGCCATTATACTCGAGATGAATTCGGCGTATGTGAACAAGGTTTGGACCTTGGTCGAGTCTCCTGATGGAATAAAACCCATAAGGTTTTGTAAATAGTTTACAAGGGAAATGTCGATGTGGATGTGAATATCCATATATACAAAGTAAGGCTAGAAGCAAAGGTTAAGTGTTGACCTTGGTGAAACCTTTCTCCTGTGGCCTTGCTGAAATCCATTCGGGTTTTATTTGCAACAATTGTATATCGTAACTAAAGGTTAAGATAAGTCTCTATGGAGTTGAAATCTTCGATTTGATGAAAAAAAGTCAAAGTATTTGATTTTATCAAATTTGAAGACGAATTGTGTGTTTACAAGAAGATAGTGGGAGCATTATCGTATTCCTAATATTATAGAAAACGACATACCTATGTTTCAATCGTTGAAATAATGGTTGTTAAAGGATTTATTCTTGAACAATATGGGAGAAGCAACGTGATCTATAGAGATAGATCGAGAATGTTGCTTAACTCGTCTCAATCTATATAAAATATTGAAAAGATTTTATATGGAGAAACTGGTTTACTCTTAAACGGTATGTTGGAAAGGTTCCAAACGTGAATCAACCGTTGATTCAATAGTAGAAACCTAATACATGATTATTTCAGAAGTAGCAAAGAGTTGCAATCTGGATCATGATGTTCATAAATGAACATGGAGGAGTTCCTGATATTGTTGATCACATACCATTGTATTGTGATAACAATAGAGCCATTGCAAAAGTAAAGGAACTAAGGTCTCATCTATGATCCAAACATATATTAAGGCGGTATAATCTCATCAAATAGATAATACATGGAAATGACGTAAAGAGAAGAACAAATTCTCACATTTAACAATATTGCAGATCTATTAACAAAGAGTTGTTGTAATATAAACATGATTGTTATGTAGACTTATGATATTGGATACATAAGTGATTGGATCTAGTGCAAGTGGGAGTTTGTAAGTATTATGCTCTAGGTCCAATCAGCTTTGGACATAAATACTTTTTATATATAATTAATGCAATTTAAATGACAGATTTATTATTTGATTAATAGACAATTAAATAAATAATAGAGTCCGAAAATTCAAATTTTTGTAATTTGTTAATTACAAGGAGTTGTGATTGTGAGATACAAATTACATCCGATTGAATCTTAAGTCATCTATGGTCGTAAGTAATAACGAGATACGGATATCGTTATTACGGTTAGACCATCACGTATGACATTTCTTACTTGTGAAGTAAGTAACTGATCTCACAAGCTAAAGTGTGGTGACACTTAAACGAACACGTTGATATTTTGTTATAGAACAAAATATTGGAGACTCGCCGAGAGATTCCACATGGATAACTATATGAGTGTTTGTGGTTAATCTCTAACGTTCGGTAGTGGAATTAGTCATTTGACTTGAGGTCGTCATGGTACCTTATATGAGGACAGTCATACTTTGACAGTGTTGAATGTTGCTCTGTAAAGGGTCGCTAATACGACATCGTTCTGGTACGTCAAGAATCGTATGAAGGTTGTGATTGACCAATAAAGGATTCGTCACTCTTAGATAGTAGGAGATTATGATCTGCGTTTCATTCAATTAAGTCAATGATGAAATCCTTGGCCAAGGTGTACTCATAAGTCGAAAAGAAGTTTTCGACTTATATTGACTTGATAGTGGAGTGAAAGATATGATCGATAATCGAGATTGACACACTTCCATATTTCGTAATTGATCGGATCGTATTGACGAAGGGATTATAGTTTCACGGTAAACGAACGAATTCGATTTTGTCATACCACATGACATTTCCCGTCACATGTATTACTCTGACACATTGCTAGATGTCAATTAGGGACGGCGAGTGTGAATTGACGATAAATTAAAAGGGTGTTTTAATTTATCAATTTTAATTAGATCAAAATAATATTTCACGTCGTTAGGCATCGTGGTCGGGAACCTAATGGGTCACACACAAAAGAGAATTGGAAGATTGCAAATTGTCAATTGGTTAATTTAACAATCATCGGATAAATTAATTAATTGGATTTGTTATTTATATTCCCGAATTAATTAATTGGATTAATTAATTCAAGGACTGGGTTTAATTAAATGGATTAATTAAATATTGGACCGGATCGGGCCGAGCCCGTTTGGGTTTATATAAATACATGACTAGGGTTTGAGGTCCATATGGTTTTCATTATTCTTGTTGGCACAAAGAGAAAACCTAGAAGCTGCAATCTTATTCTCTGTGTGGATCACCGTTGGAGGCTGGACAATTGGACAGCTGTGGTGGCGAATCAAGATTGCTGGAACGAGAAGAAAAGTAAAAGGTTTGCAAAATTTTTCAAAGGTACAATCTTTATCACGATTTCTATCTAAACACAAAGGGATCCTCGGTGGGAAACGAAATAATTTTAATTTTCCGTTGTGCATGTATAAGTAAATTCCCAACAGTTCTATGTAAATAGCATTACAGTAGGATGTGTTTGATACGCTCAAATTTTCCATGCAAAATAGAAAATCAATTCCAATTTCATGTTTTTGCTTGTTTGATGGCTCTCTTTTTTCATAGCATTAATTTTTTAGTTTTTCATACCACCTAAAATTTTTCATGTTTTTCATTGGTTACTGTAACACTTTTTTATTTTTTTGGCAATGAAAACAGATTTTAAGAATTATCGTAAAAAAATATTTTCCTTTAATTGACAATTTTCATGTAAAATAAAGTCAATGGAACACCAAAAGATATATGATTTTCTTGAATTTTTTTATTTTTATTTTTTGTTGGCAATGGAAACAAATTTCATCCTCAATGATAGTAAATTTTATCCATTTAATCAACAATTTTCATATAAAACAAAGTTAAATGAACATCAAAAAATACTTTTATTTCAACATTTTTCATGTGAAAAATTATACCAATCAAACACAATAATTTACAATTTTCAGAAAAATAACTTCTAGACAATTCAATTCTTTGGAATTCATTTTCCTTCCACTCAAATTCCATCTTTACAATTTCTAAATAATTCAATTTCCTGAAATTACGTACAACTCTCATTTATGTAGAGACCTCGCTATTTATATCCAATAGATGTTATTGTCATACTGTACCACGTTAGTGAAAAGATCCGTTCTCTTTACTAACATCTCGTATGAGTCATTGGTCAATTTTCATAGCATCTAACTCTTCATTATTTAATTTTAGCACTCGTATATTTCAACGGATGGAAATCATCATCACCCGAGATGGCGAGAAGATAAAGGGCCTATGGTAATTAACTCTTGTTGGTTAATACTTTATAGTAAGTATTAATTAACATAGGTAGTGATTGTAAAAAAATCCGTCCCAACCCGTCTTACCCTCGTAGGGTCCCGTCCCGATGGGTTGGCAGGGGCGGGGTGTGGTGCCCCTCCCTCGACCCCTCCCCGTGATTTTTTTTTTTAAATTTCAAGTTATATTATTATTAGATAATAAAATACAAATATAAAATTTTAATTAATTACAAAAGAAATATAATTTAGTCAAAACGTAATTCTATTTGAAATTATTTAATTTTTAACATTGTTTATTTCAAGTGTTTACTTTGAATTTAAAAATTTTGAATTTATATTTTATTCTCTAATAATAACATAATTTGAAATTTAAAAAATGTAAAAAAAAAAATAATAAAATTAAACTGGACAACAAATGAGGCGTGGCCTCGCCCCACTTCACCCGCCCCGTTTGAGGAGGGGGAGCGGGGCGTGGGTGGGACGCCCACCCCATTGCCATTCCTAAACATATGAAATGAAACAAAGAATTCACCCATAACATTAATTAAACATACCCAAAAAAGATTAATCAAACACAGTATTTACAATCTCTATAAACAAAGCCAAACATCAAAAGAAAATCCCAAAACCCAAACCTTTACCTAAAACATAAATATAAAGAAATTAAACCTAAACTTGATCGAAGCACAAATATTTAGGCCCCGTTTTCCTTATTTTTTCTTCTTTATGTGATAAAAGGTTCACTTTTCCTGCACTTATTTCTGTTCTCAAATCATTCAAAGCCTGTCTCAACATTGCATTCTCAGTTTGAAAAACTTCAACCTGTCTCTTCACATCCAAACATGTCTTTGACACGTCAGCAATCTCTGTGTTGGGCGAAGCAGAATCTGCCAAGCGTTGGATACCTATTTTATTCATCACCAACAGTGGCAATCTAATCCCGGCTGCCGCCGCCGGCGGGATACTAAGTGCCAACCGTAGATTTACCACGGCCAAATCCCACACCGGCAACGCCGTTCTTGCACTAGCCTCCGTTCCCTTCAACAATCCCTCCACCCGTCTCGCCACTGCCCTCGGCTCCAAAAGATGCTTCCCATCCGTGAAGTGGCCGGTTAATTTTTCGCCCAAACCCTCGACAGATTCTGAATAGTGCGATTTTTTCACCGAAAAATCACCAAAATCAGGTTTAAAATGGATGAAAAAACAGGGATTTTTACTGCTAGTCAAATTGAACTCCGCGCTCATGGTTAAAGGGCTTCCGATCGGTGACCCGAAGTGTCCTATCCCAGTCTTGAAATTAAAGCTAAAGGGATTTTGTGAATCATTGGCACGGTAACAGAATTTGACAGAAGGCCCAGAATCAAATAAAGTGCCGATATTTAGAGAGAATTCTTTGGATTCACCGACAACTATTCCGGATTGAAGCCGGAAACTCGAAATGTTAAATGGGATTTTTGCTCTCAATAAAGGTTTCTGATCTTCCCTGAACTTGACTGAGGCTTTCATATTTTCAATCAACAGATTGAAAAGTTTTCTGATATGGAATTTAGCCAAAACACCGGAGAGGGGGTTGTACGTGCGAGTAGTAGTTGAAACTTGACAGAGTATGTATGAAAAAGCTGCTGTAAATTCGTATGCCATGTATATCTAGTGCCAAAGTTATTGTGGTAAATTTCACTTGAGGTCCCTGACCTTTAATTATGATGTGGAAGTCCCTAGCCTTTCATTTATGGCGACATGAATCTCAAACCTATTTAAACTGTAAGACCATCATCCTTTTACGACAAAGTCAATTCAGCCTAAGGGTGGCAATCGAGCTGAGCAAGCCGCTCGGCTAGTAAAAAGATGGCTCGTATTTGGACGAGCTCTTAAAAAAATGGGAACAAAAGAGACAAAAATGTTTTATATATATATATATATATATATGTATATATATATATATATAAGCTCGTGGACCTAATCGAGCCATGCAAAAGTGATTTTTTTTGTTTAAAATGAACCCTCAATTTGAATTAAATAAAAATGAAGTGAGAAAATGAAAGGAACTGCCAACAACACCCATCCCAAATTGTCATCAAAACATCCTTCTCCTCTATACTCCACCAATAATGCTCTTTGTACAAAGATAGGTTACAAAATTGGATGAAAAAGTGACGTGGACGGCTAAGATGGGAGGGAAATGGAAGGTTCCGATTGATTTTTGGAATGCTGGTTTAGGCACCAAAATGGAGAGGAAAACATACCACGTGATCGATACGTACATAAATATTAAAAAAAGACAACAAATGATTTTTCTCTCTCCTCAGTTCTCCCAATCAGCTTTTCTTCAACCCAATCCCATTTGGTCCCAAAAGAGAATCACAGAAAACGGTAACAAGTTCAGGGGAAAAAATGATGATCACCAAAAATGGAAATTATTTGTTAGTCAATGGTCGAATCATATAGAACGGTGTTACCTAAGTTTTTTTTCCCCAAGAATCCAGTGAAGTGTTTTGGAATTTTTGGTCCATTATCTTCTTCTTAGCTGCTGCAGCATAACAAACTTGCGTGTTTCTTCCAAGTTCTCCACACCAGCCGTAGGCGCCCGATGCTCCGAAATTAGGTGGCTTGTTCCAACGATATGAATTTATGGTTAAAATGTTGTTGGTATTGTCTGTTCTTATCCCCCATGTCTATTTCGTTTATGAAATGTAATTAAAATTGAAATAAAGTAAGTACTGTCTTAATTATTAAGTAATGGAGCATGTCAAATTTAAATTATAGACATTGATAAAAGATATAGACATAGTTTCAATAAATTAGTAAATTTGTAGACATAGTTTCTCGAATCCAAGTTGGTTTCGAATTTGAAAACCTTCGACAGATATGGTTAGCTCAGTGGCTAAGGTCACGACGGTGAAAGATGCTAGTGGTGAGATGATGTTTGGGGTGCTTGAAGGTGATGTCGTGTAATTAAACCAAAGAAACAACAAACTGGATTTTTATGGAAGACGTACTGGGTGATGAAATATATGGCAAATTTAAACTACACATGTGCACAAAACTGAGCTACATTTGGATTGAAGGTTGGACATTTAAAAAATTAATAATGCTATTGTTTGTGTTTTGTAGGAATACCGAATATGGAAGATGTTTTGTTCATAGATTTAGAGATTGAGAATGTGGAGGACAATGTCAATGTCGTGGAAGACGAAACAGTAGGAGATGGTTTGACCGTGTCGGGGTTGGTATGCAATTTAATTATTAAAAAGGAAGTATATGATTTTTATGCAAGATGTGCCTATGCCGTGGGTTTTCCAGTTAGGAAGAGGAGTTCTGCGAGAGATGATGACGGTGTTTTGAGATATATCACGTTGACGTGTAGTAGGGAGGGACGAAGAACTGGTAATACAAGCACTTCTTTGAAGCTGCAACCAACAATTCAAACGGGTTGCAAAGCTAGGATCTCGGCATCTTTAGATATCCATGGTTATTAGAAAATTAACGAGGTCCATCTTGACCACAACCATAAGACGAGTCCTACTAAGTCCAGATTATAGAGATGCAATCGAGAAATGACGGCACGTGAAATGAAAGCTCGAAGTGAATGACATAGCAGGAATACCATTGCATAAAAGTTTTAACTCCGCAGTTATTGAGGCTGGTGGCTACGAGAATATGACTTGTATTGAAAAAGATTGTCGGAACTATATCGAAAAGGTGAGACGACTAAGACTTGGTGAGGGTGATGCAGCTGCAATACAGACTTACTTTTCTGAAATGCAATCCCGATGCTCCGAATTTTACTTTAGTATTGACTTGGATGATGATTCATGCCTGAAGAATGTCTTCTGGACTGATAATCGGTACAGGCAGGCATATAAGGAGTTCGGGGACGTTGTGACGTTTGATACAACCTACCTCACTAATAAATACGACATGCCCTTCGTCCCTTTTGTTGGCTTGAATCATCACGAGCAATCAACGTTGCTGGGTTGTGGGTTGGTATCGAATGAGGACACATATACATTTGTGTGGTTGTTTACGACATGGCTTAAGTGCACGAATGGTCAAGCTCCGCATGGAATAATCACTGATCAAGATAGGGCAATGCAGAATGCAATTTAGATAGTTTTCCCTAATATGAAACATAGATGGTGTTTGTGGCACGTATTGAAAAAGTTGCCAGAAAAGTTTGGATATCATGTGGACAAGTCTTCGATATTTTCGACCATACACGTATTGGTCTACGATTCGCAATCTGTTGAAGAATTTGAGGAAGGTTGGTAATCGATGCTTGATATATATGACTTAAGCGAAAATGATTGGTTGTCCGGATTGTATGAAAATAAAGGACGTTGGGTGCCATGTTTCTTAAAAACAATTTTCTGGGCTGGTATGTCAACAACGCAGAGAAGTGAAAGTATGAATGTCTTCTTCGACGGTTATGTGCAACCTAAAACATCGTTGAAACAGTTCGTCGAACAGTACGAATGAACACTGCGGAATAAGGTTGAGAAAGAATTTCAGGCCGATTTCAAGTCCTTCTCTCAAATGCTCCTGTGTGCAACAACTTATGAAATGGAAAAGCAATATCAGGCATTGTACACACTTTCGAAGTTCAAGGAAGTTCAAGTCGAATTCACAGGGAAGGTTTACTGTGACCTCATGTCTGTTTCAGAAGGACATATGGGGACGATGCATGAGGTACGGGAGGATGTAGTCTGTGGGGAGATACGAAAGAAAAAACATTTTCAGGTGTCCTTCAATAGGGAGAACTGCGAAATCACATGCAGTTGTCACTTGTTCGAATTTCAGGGTATAATATGTAGGCATGCAATCGTGGTATTGATACATAATGATGTGAGTGTGATGCCAGATCGCTATATACTGCATAGGTGGAGGCGAGACATCAGTAGAGTGCACACAAGGGTTGCCGTTAATTACGACGGTTTGGTTAGTACTCCTGCACAGTTGAGATGTGACGAGATGTGCAAGGCATTTACCTCGGTAGCAGACCTTGCAGCAGATGACGAAGGGACGTATCATGTGATCATAGATTGGATACAACTTCAAAACAAGGAGTTTAGTTTGACCCCCTCGAGTACTTGTAGTAATATCAATTTACATTGCACTGCATCGCGAAATGAAGGTAGTGCCACTGTGAAAGATCCGATACCATCGAAGAAAAAAGGAGCCCCGAGGACAAAACGGAGAGAAGGGCCTTTGGAAGCGAACACTACCACATCAAGGTATACTCGTATGTTATACTCTTTTATTCACTTCATTTTATACAATACGTGAAATTCATTATGGTATACTTGCAGCTGCGATCGAGCCACGCAAAAGGAAAGAGACCAACCCCGAGGAATAGTTGTATCCCGGATGGTGTGGCCGAGGTTTCGCCACCACCTGAGCAGCAATACTCAATGCCAATGCCGTTCTCATTTTCGCAACTACTACTGGTTTGTATATTAATTGCTAAGTTTTGTAAGAATTTCTGATGTTATTAATGCGAAGAACGTGATGTAGGGTGATGGGATGAGCCGTATGTTCACTCAACAAGTACCGTGTACTACGTTGATCCCCACAATCACCACAAACGTTGATTCGAATTCCCAAGGTACACATATATTTCAATCACAACAATTACAATTTGTATTTATTTTTCTCGATGATAAAAATGCAAATCCTCCATCTCTTTTTTGTGTTTTTAAGTAGTAAACCTATAGACCAATAAAGTTGTGAGGATCCTACTCTTCTGTGCTGTGCTTTCAAGAAACACCGACGATGGAGATGACAGGTATTAAATTCTTGGGATGCATCTAGAAACAAGTATTGCTTAAGTAAGTGACTGCACTTGCTTCAAAGTTTTTAATGTCCAAAAGCATGGGACATGTCAAAAATCGAGAAGATGTTCATAAGAAAATATTGCATTGCTAGCTTCTGTTCCTTGTGGCTTGAAGAAAAACTCTCACGTCTTGTGTTTATAATTTCGTCACTGCCTGAATTTAAAGTCGAAGTGACCGTGTATTTTATGCATGGATGATTTAGACCTTTACCCTTATTGATGCAAACACTTCGACATAGCTGAATATTCTTTGGATAATTTATTTAATCAGAAACTTAAGACCTGTATAATAATTTCATATAGTTAAGTAGTCTAATTTATCGCTTATCTTGCAAAACGGATTTCATATGAGTTGACTATTTCTTCATTAAACGTTAACAGGAAAATGGCAACGCAACAAGTATGTTGGCGTTTCTCTGGTTGGGAAGACATCAGCAATTATGGGATTTGGTAAGGTTGGTTCTAAAGTTGCAAGACGCACAAAAGGACTCGACATGCATGTGATTGCATATGACCCTTATGCTCCAGCGAATAGAGAACGTGCTATTGGTGTTGAGTTGGTCAGTTTTGATTAGGCCATCTCCACTGCAGACTTCATTTCACTCCATATGCCTCTAACTCCTACAACTAACAAGGTATTTAATGATGAAACCTTTTCAAAGATGAAAAAGGGTGTCCGCGTCATAAATGTAGCTCGAGGCGGTGTTATTGACGAAGATGCCCGACGAAGATGCCTTAGTGTTGCTCATGTTGAAGCCAATGGAAAACCATGGTATGGGTTGCTCATGTTGTTGAGAAAGTACCCACAGCA